CTGAACTCTCCTCTGATTTATTAGAAGCTGATGCCACTAAAGCACCATAGAAACGTTTCATCCTGGGTTTGGTAACGTCCTTTCAGCTCCACGCGTGTGACTGCTTCCAGGGCCCTATCTCACCTATTTGTAATAAACTCGTTCCTAGAAGATGTTTCTGTGACACATTTTGCATTTTGAGGAGAAGCCTGAAAATGGTGGTGTGTGTGGGAAGCCAGTGGCACAGAGTCCCTGAGCATGAGCCTCCACGGCAGCAAAAGCGGGACTGAGCAGGAGAACAGGGTCCAGGGATTCCTAGAGACTGAAACAGAATTGGGAGCCAATGGGTCTGCTTACAGCATGCGTGCACTGAGCTGGTGTCCAGTTCATTTAGCAGCTGGGTCCCTGGTGTGGACGTGAAGAAACATAGGGCGAGGTCAAGGACAGGGTGCCCTGGGTCAGGCTTCGTGCCTGCAGGTGCCCTGGCTGGGGAGTGCACTGGCAAGCAGAGAAATATTAGCCATGAATTTCCCTGGAGAACTGGGAAAGAGAGAACCAACTGTTCTCTTTGGTCTAGCTGTAGGTGGGGACACTCCCAGCCACACCCTAATTCCCCGACCCTCTGAGAACCACAGGTCCCAGTCAGTGCTGCTGCAGGAGCCTCCCTCTCCAGGAGACCAAGGCAGGCTCAGGGCTGCAGGGCACAGGGAAGGCCTGACACTGTGTCCTTTAAAGAGAGAGTGGGAAGATCCTGAATGCCTGAGCCCAGGGAAGAGAAAGCCAAGGCACCGTTATAAATGAGGCGTGAAGGCCAAAGGGCAGGTGTTCTCTGGGGTCACGCTCTAGACTGGGGAGATGAGGGTGCTCTCTGCAGAGACATGAAGAGCTGCAGCCCCCAGAATGTGGAGCCAGTGTCACTGTTTACACTGGGCACCAATCAGGTATCCAATGTGCTTAGCCCGTGGGCACTTTTCCTGGACTTGAAAGGTTCAGGGCCAGGTCAAGGAGAGGGTGCCCTAGGGGAGGGCTTTGCTGCAAGCAGGGTTTCTGAAGAGGCTGGACAAGAACTGCTTGTCAGGTGGAGAGCAGGGTAGGGACCAGACCAGCAACACCGTCCCGTCTCAACAGGACCCTCCACTCACAAATCTCTACTGACTCCTGGGACTCTATATGCTCAATCCTCTG